CGTTTTAACCCAACTTTTAATTTTTTATAATGAAATTGTGTTTTTAACGAGTTAGGATTAATTTCGAGACATTTCTGGTCTCATACAAGTTCAGAAGATAACACGTTTGCACGCATTCCAGACCATTCAATCTGTGCGCATGCGTTAAATCATTACTTGTTTTAACGCGTGCTAACCTGCGTTAGGGAATCAAAAATATTTCATGGGTTACCTCAAACGCGATTCTGGTGCTTTTTTTAAACGAATTTCTCGCGGTAAGTTTTTCATAAACAGAGTGTCGCGCGATACTTTGAAGCTAAACTCGCCTTTTTTCGCGTTTTTTTTAGAACATTCGTTTTCGCGGTACTTGAGCCAATCTCGCGTTTGTCGCGTTGCATTGATGGTATAGTCAAAATTTATATAGAAAAAACTCAAAGTCCCTATAGTATGTCTGATATAGTTAAAGGCTAAATGTCCCGAAGCAACTTTTTTGCGAGGAATCCAATGGTGGTCTCAGAAATTCTTGAAAATGTTTCTACCGCGAAATAAGTATTCAGTTAGTCATAGTCATATAAAATAAGCGCGAGAAAACGCGAGTTTAGCTTCAAAATATTGCACGAAACTCTGTTTACGAAAAATTTACCGCGAGAAATTCTTTTGAAGAAAAAAAGCGCAAGAATCGAGTTTGACGTAATCATAGGTTGCGTTAAACGCGCTAAATTTTTCGTAAACAGAGTTTCGCGCGATACTTTAAAGTTAAACTCGCGCTTTTTATAGAATAATTTATTTTTTCGCGGTTCTTGAGCCAAGCTCGCGTTGGCCGCGTTACATTGCGTTAAAAACGCGCTTTTCACTCATTATTTGTTATAGAAATGCCTAATTTCGCGACTTCAGTCTACAAAACGAGTTTTACGTGTCCAAGAAACTATCTTATAAATTTTGAAAAAGTGAAACGCGTTTTTCAGATTTTATTTCAAGCCCAAACGCGTTGAATTCGTTTCAATTGAGTCCTAAACGCGAAAAATTCGGTGCCGTTCGCGAATCTTCAAGTCTATTGCGACGGAAAACGCGTTTTTAAAAAGTTTTAACGGTTATAAACGCGTTTCTCGCGAATTATCGATGGTTTTTTTTTATTAAGGCGTATATTTAAAGCTCAAGAAGTTCACCGTATGCATGGTGAAACTGTATATTCTCGCGCTCTATGAATGCTAAAACCACTTTAGAACTAATTTTCAAAACATATAGGTGACTGACTGGGAAGTGAAAGTCACTTTCGAGATATGGTGGCGCCAGTATCTAATGAAAAAAGTTACCCAAGCAAAAGGAAAAATCGATAAGCTATATTTAAAGCTCAAGAAGTTCGCCGTATGCATGGTGAAGCTGTTTATTCTCGCGCTCTATAAATGCTAAGGGATTTTGATTAAGGCGTATATTTACTTCTGAATTTTGAATATGTATAATATGTCCGGAAGAATACGTTCTTCTTGTCAAAAATCTCAAAAAACTGAAAAATCAAGAAACCTGAAAAACCGTTTTTTTTCGATAAAAGTGGGTTTTTCTTCCTTATTGTTCGATTTAAACGATGAAATTTTTTTTCTTCATATTTACCGTGTAAAATTGTATCAGAAAATGGTGTTTCGAAATTGTTTGCATATTACCTGACCAGTATACCGCCCACCTTTCTAAAGGACCTAAAAATGCCACATCTTCCGATTGTAAACCCATCAACTCCAGTTGGTTAGAATATAAAGACTAAATCTTACGTCATTCGAATCGTTAAACGATGAAGACAAAAATTACGTAGGCTTTTGTTTTTATTTGTTTTCCTTCCTGCGAAAATCCTTTTTAAATCATTTTTGGTGTCAAAAACTGACCAAGTCTCAATTTTCTCAACCAGAACTCAAGTTCTATGTAATAAAAATATCATATTCGCAATCAGGATCGAAAACTGAATCGACTGATGTGTATCTCTATACCATACGAGCACTTTCGTATTTTTTCAATTTTCACGTTGAAAAATCATAGAGATTTTCACTAAAAAATAAAAATGAACTAAAAATTTCGAAACACACATCAGTCGACTCAGTTTTCGATCCTAATTTCGAAAGAAATTTGTACTCTATCTTTGTATTACTTTCAGGAAGGAGATAAACACTCACTGAGTTCGTTTACGCTAATATTACTAAGTTCCTATAGGCCGAAGTTTGCATTTGTTTTGAAAGAAAGAATACTTCGTTAATGAATAAACTTTGTTTTACAACCGCTTGTTTCCATCACATTTAGTGTGATTAGTGATATTTTCTCTAAATATTTATCATACATAAAACTCTGTGTCTCTATCACACTAGAAATATTTCAGAACACTTCATTTCTCCTCTCAAACTTTTAGTTGTTGCTGCTTTTATTTTTATCAAAATGTTACTATAACAGTACTAGTATATTATTTATTCGAAACCTTATCCTTCATTACAATAATCAGCATATTTCCAAATTTCCACTTAAGAATAAAAATTGAAAGTAGCATTTGTCGCCAATAAATATTTGATTTAGTTTTGTCATTTTTCTCTTTCTCCTCATTCATCTAGTATTGCTTATTATTGCATAATTCGTGTAGTTTGACACCAGTTACAGGATAAGTCAATAATTTGGCTATAGGTACACGGCTGTGTTCATCCACCAATAGAGAATCTAGTTTGTAAAGTCCATACTGGAAAGTGCCAGAAACTCGCTTATGATCAATGTCGAGATGATAGGTCGATTGCCCGACATAATTTGCACATGGTTGAGCCAATGTTGGGTAGGAAAAAAAGTGGCCTTTGATAACAATTTTGTTTACACCGTGACATTCCCATACACCATCAGCCGCTGAATACGATAAATCTTCTAAGTCGTTTGAATATTGATTGCTGGCGAGTGAAATTGGACCAGAATACGTGCCATCTGGATGGAGTGTAGCAGATTTGTAAAATGTTGTATTATCCGGACGCGTTATCTGGAAATAATAAACACCAAAATGTTTTCGACAGTGGTATAGTGAGCAACCCTCCTTTGAATTTTCTCGATGATCTTTGTTTGCATTCGATAAGGCAATACAACAGATAATGGTCAATATAAATAACATGATTGTTTACTTCTTATGTTGATGATGATGATAGGAGATGATGTTGTTCACGACGATTTATGAAAAAATTTCAGGATATATAAAGTAGCAAAATACGTCTCGTTATTTTCACGTTAATAACATACGCTGTATATTTGTGTATTCGACGAGAAGAATTAAAGCAAACCAATTAGCCATTAAATGCCTAACAGATTTTATTCTTTTCTAAAAAATATCCCCTGAGATTCAGCTGTAACCAATCACACAATTTCGTTTATAGAAAGGTGTTACGAGGAGAAAGAGTGCAAATCGAACTGTTTCTTGTGCACAAGAATATTACTTTACGGCGTAATAAGTACGTTTTCTACAATAAAAGCAACCCAAGCAAAAGAAAAAGTCGATAAGCTAGCTCAACCTAGGTAAAGCGGTACATTTAGCTAGCTCAAGCTAGCTAAATGTACGTCGAATTGATGTTTCAGTTATCCAGAGATCACGTTTGTCAGGTTTACCAGCTGCATAATGAATTTCACTTGCTTTGACAAAATACTCCAACGCCAATTCATTCTGTTTAAGTATTACATAGAGTGAACCAAGACTACTATATGTCAGTGCAAGATCACTATGATTCGAAGGTAATGATTTACGACATATTTCAAGCGCTTCGGTCATTAATTTCAATCCTTGGTCATAATTTGTTAATGCAACATAACAATGTCCCATATTAAATAATGTTCTAGCAATGTCTGGATGATCCGATGGTAATTGTTCCTTTTGTACAGTTAATGCTTTCTCATAATTAATTATAGCTAAATCATTCCGATTATACTGGACTTCATCATATTTTACTTTTCGACGAGTGGCTATAATTACTACGAGGTTGGGGACGTCTGATGAGAACCAATAGTAGTTCTAATGCTCATAATACGTATATCTCATTCAATGATTTTCAAGGAACAGAAAGAAATCTCCTCCTTTTCGGGGGAAGGATGTGAGAGTGAATTCGAAAAGTAGTTGCACGACGTGCTCTTTACGTTGTGAGTTTTTGCGAAGGTGAAGTGAAATGAAAAAAGCTAAACTAGTTGTTGAAATCTTCGTATATTGATGTGAAAAATAAATGATAGTTTCACTACTTTGTGGTTATTCCTTGACTTGTAACTTAGCACTAGTTTGAGCACATGGTTGAAAGCTTTTTCGTGTCCCGAATCCCGATTGTCCCGTCCCGAACTTTTTTGGAAAATCCTGTCCCGTCCCGTTTGTCCCGATATGAAAGAAAACGTTTCAATTCGATTGTATTATCGACTGTTTCTCAAGAAAGGTATCTGTGAGCGTTATGACTTCATTGTTTTATGTGTGTTTTTTATGTGTTTTAATATGTGTCTTTCTTTGAGATCAGATCGTTTTCAGCTGAACAAAATTAGACTGAGATGAGAATTAAAGCTAAAGAGCTTAATTTTCACCATTCGAAAGAGGAGACTTGAGCACATGTTTTCATAATCAAAAATTTTCCCAGAAGAGCTTTCTGGAACAGGTTTTGCAGGGGATCTTTGGAAAACTAGCTCGCGTGAAAAAAATTTCCAATAGGATTGTAATGATTTGTTTTCACAGACTGGCAGCCCAGGCTGTCCTTTTCAAATTGAGAGTCAAGCGAGACCTTGATTTTCCACGCTTCAAGCGTTGTATCGGATTTCCTACGAATCCCAGGGTCGGCACCCAGTGACGACCCGCAGCCTTCAAGGCGGATGAACTACGCGTAATCGACCACGCTGCGTCTGGCGGCCATAGTTGTTTCCAGAAAAGATTTGAAATTCTACCGAAAAATTACGCAGTGTTTCATTGAACTGCTGATTTATGGATAAATCGACACAGAGGGAACGAAACGTAAATATATTATACTCGTTTGAAAAACGAAGCAAACAACCTTTTATATTCGACATCCTATGTCGGATATTTAGATATTTAGATATTCGGATATTCAAATATTCAGATATACCCGACATATCTGAATATCTAAATATCTGAATATCCAGATATCTATATATCTGAACATCTGAATATGCCAATATATTAATATCTCAATATCTACATATCTGAATATCTAAATATAAAAATATCTGAATATCCGAATATCTCAATATATGAATATCTACATATCTGAACATCTGAATATGTAAAGATGTTACAGGATGTTCGGATATGTACATATTCGGATACTCAGATATTCGGATATTTAGATATCCAGATATTCGGATCTTTAGATATTCAGATATTCGGATATGTAGATGTTCAGATATTCATATTATCGGATATTCAGATATTGATTGATCGTCCAAACTTAGACTTATTCGTATTTAAATTTGCTCATACATACTGAAGAGCAACTAAACTTTATTTTGACAAAACTAAAAGCGAACTTATCTACATTTAACAGACGGCGCAGAATAAACTGATGAGTTTTGTTTTTGATGTAACTCTGATCTCTTTCAACACAGAAAGCTGGTTTTACTTCTTCTTCTTTTTAAACTTTACTCCTAGAATAAAACGAAGTACGCAACCTATTTCTCACCACTCCAAAATGCATTCTGAACCACTTATGCCGCTGGCACTCTATTTTTACTGCAATATAAACTCTCTACACACCCACAAACTTTCTATATTCAGTACACCTACATCTACAAACTACACCCTCAGCTTCATCCTTATCCTCGCCAGACATTCTCAGCCTTTGACCACATGCTTCTTCTTACCTTCAGCTCCGTCCGCCATTTGATAACTCCAAATGGACGACAATCCTTTTAGTAAGAATTGTGAAAGATATGGAGTTCATAATTCAGACTGCAGTTAATAGCTGTCTCAACTGAAATTCACAACTCCAAGGTGGAGTTGAAGTTCTCAACTTGAGTGGAGAGAGCTCTAAGCTCGTAAAGGTCAACTGCACTGAAAAAACCTCAGCTTCGAAGTTGAAGTTCTGACTACAGTACAACCTGATTTTCTAATATTAAAAAATACTAGTTACAATATGTAAGACATATGTGTTTGAAATGAAAAGAACTGCATTTTTTGGTAATCATCGTGCTTTGTTGATTGTAACGCACTATGCTCCAATGGTGTACATAAGACTCGTACATAAATATGGAGAATTTAATCGTCTATTTGATATCAAAACCAAACTGCAACCTTCCTTCTTTTATATAAAAAATATTTGTAACAATGTCTAAGACCAATGTATTAGAAGTTTTTCTTGGTAAAGTTCAAGTTCAAGTAGAAAGAACTGTATTTTTTAGGCAATTATCAATGATCTATTGATTGTAGCTCAACTAGCCCCAATCATATAAACTTGTTTCTTGTACAATTTTATAGAGAAATTACTCTCCGTTTCAAAATGGTTGGCACTCGGTTGCTTTTTGAATAACTTTTGATAGGAATGAGATAGAGACCTGCGATTTTCGCTGTTCAATAGCCAAGACTTGAGCAG